CCTAACCTACCTAAAATACCTTACCATACTTAACCCAAATAAAATACCTTACCTTACCATAACCTACCTCCCTAAAATAACATACGTTACCCAACCTACTAAAATACCTTATCTTATCCTAACTACCTAATATACCTTACCTAACCAAAGTAAAATAACTTACGTAACCTACCTAAATACCGTACCTTACACATCCTCACTTGAAAACTTACCTTACCAAACCTACCTAAAATACTAAAATACCTTACATTAGTTATCCTGCTTAAAAATATCCTACCTTACGTAACCTACCTAAAAAACTTGACTAAATACACTTTAATATCTTACCTTACATAACCTAGCTAAAATACCATACTTTAACTCATCTACATATAATACCTTACCTTACCTTCACTACCTAAAATACCTTACTAACCTACCTAAAATACCTTACCTAACTTACCTAAAATACCTTACCTAATCTACCTAAAATACCTCACCTAACCTCCCTAAAATACCCTACATTACCTATCCCTCTTATATAACTTACCTAACCTACCTAGAAAATGTAACTAAAACACTAAAATACCGTACCTTAGCTAACCTACATAAAATTCCTTACCTTACCTAACCTACTTAAAATACCTTACCTTACATAACCTCCCTGAAATGCCAAATCTTGCCTAATTTATATAAAATTCCTTACAAATCCTAGATAACTTACTTTACCTAACCTACTTAAATAGCTTACTTTACATAACATACCTTACCTATCTTAACCTACCTAAAATACCCTACCTTATTTAACCTACCTTAAATACCTTACCTACTTGAAATTCCTTACCTAAATGAACTCTATCTACCTAAAATACCTTCCCAAACCACCAATCATACGGAACCTACCATTCTTTCTTTACCATAACATACCTACCTCAAATACCTTACCAAACCTACTTAAAATACCTAACATTACTTAAACTACCTAAAATACTAAAATACCTTACCTATCCTACTTAAATAACTTACCTTATATAACGTAGATAAAACCAAAATAAAATACCTTACCTAAACTACATATAATTACCTACCTTACCATAAATTACCAACCTCAAATACCTTACCTAACCTACTTAAAATTCCATACCAAGCTACCTAAATATCTTACCATAGCTTACGTACCTTAAATATACTACCTAAACTACATAAAATTCCTTACCTTACATAACGTACCTAAATTACCTTACCAATCCTATTTAAAATACCTTACCTAACCTTAACACAATACCTTACCATACCTTCCTAAAATACCTTACCATACCTAACCAAAATAAGATACTTTACCTTACTTACCTTGAATAACCTACCTAAAATACACTACCTAAACTAGATAAAATACCTTACCTTACATAACATACCTAAAATACCTTGCCAATCCTTTTTAAAATACCTAACCTAATCTAAATACAATACTTACCTTACCTAACTAAAATACCTTACCTAACCTACCTAAAATACCTAACCTATCCTACCTAAAATTTCTTACCTTACCTAACTTACCTAAAATACCTTACCTTACCATAATTTACTTCAAATACCCTACCTAACCTACCTAAAATACCATACTTTAACGAATCTACCTACAATACCTTATCTTACCTAATCTACCTAAAATTCCTTACCTTTCATAACGTACCTAAATTACCTTATCAATCCTATTTAAAATACCTAACCTAACCTTAACACAATACCTTACCATTACTTCCTAAAATACCTTACTATACCTAACCAAATAACCTACCTAAAATACACTACCTAAACTAGATAAAATACCTTATCTCACAAAACCTACCTAAAATACCTGCCACTCCTTTTTAAAATACCTAACCTAATCTAAATACAATACGTACATTACCTATCTAAAATACCTAACCTATCCTACCTAAAATAACTTACCTTACCATAACGTACCTCAAATATCCTACCTAACCTACTTAAAATACCATTCTTTACCGAATCTACCTACAATACCTTATATTACCTAATCTACCTAAAATTCCTTACCTTACCTAACCTACCTAAAATACATTACCTTACCATAACTTACCTACCTCAAATATCCAACCTAACCTACCTAAAATACCATACCTTACAGAATCTACCTACGATACCTTACCTTACCAAATTACCTAAATATCTTACCTAAATATTTTACCATATCTAACTATCCTTAAATACACTAACTTAACTACATAAAATTCTTTACATTACATAACCACCTAAAATACCTTACCTAACCTACCTAAAATACATACCTAACCTACCTAAAATACCATAACTGACTTTTCTACCTGACATACCTACCTACCTTACCAAACCTACATTACCTACCTCACCCTTACCTAACATATCTTGCCTAAACAAACCTATGTTAGCTTGTCCAACGTACATTACCTTACATATTCCACCTTACCTAACCTAACCTTTCTAACCGTTCCTACCTCGCCTTACTTAATAACCTAATTTCCTTACCTTAACCTGTCTAGCCTAACCTTCATTACCTAACCTACCTAACAGTGCGTAACTAGCCTACCATACCGTACACAACCTACTTTAACTAAACAACTACACCTTACTTAACCTATCTTACCTTTTATACCTATCTTTACCTTAAAATACCACATTAACTTACTTATTTACCTTACATTATCTGCCTGTCTACCTACCTACCTACCTGCTCGACTACCTACTAAAAAACCTTAGTTAATTAGGCCCTTCATTATAGTTATAAATGAGGCCCTTTATTATGATTCAAGAAAAAAAATTCAGTATACAAGCACTGTTTATCATATTCGTAGACAAAACAACTATTACGTTTCTTTATATCTGTATTTTTCTACACTCTAGTGAATGTCAACTACACGTTTAGAGCCTGAGCTTTTGTTGTTTTTGTTTTTCCTTTTGGGTAAAATATTTTAAAAGATCACAATACTGCATGGGTGGACTCCCCCCCCCCCCCCCCCCAACCGTCAACCGGGGAAAATCCCGGTGGGCCCCCAGGGAAAAAATCCTGGTGGGCCTCTAGGTAACGATTCTCGTTGGGCCCGTAGGTAACAATTCTCTGATAGTTTTTATTGGATACTTTTCTAACACTACCACGATTACAAGAGGGTGATAACGTTTGTTACCTCACTACATGTCACCCAGCCTGGCGACACCTATGGGTTTACATTATGGCGGCGTCACTAGAAAGTTAAAATTTACATTAGGTGGAGAGAACTTTTTAAAAAAAATTAAATTTAAACGTGAATAACAAAAGCTGACATCCGTTATTTTCTTTAAATTATCTCCCCTACCGCTTCAAACTATTATTATTAATTAATTTTATTCACCATGTATGTATGGTGAAATACATAATACATGTTTTATGTAGGTCACGGGAGATCAGAGGTTTCTGGGGCCGCCAATGACCCTCGGGCTGGAAGGACCTCAATTGAACATATTTTATTAACTCGTTTCCCGTCGTGTAAACATTACTTAAGCGTGCACTACACACATGAGTAGCCTTAAGCTTATGTACAGTAGGGTGATGGTTGTAGTGGTCGATGGGGGGTGGTTGTGGTGGTAGGTGGGGGTGGTGGTGGTTGTTGTTGTAGTGGTCGGTGGGGTGGTGGTTGTTGTTGTAGTGGTCGATAGGGGGTGGTGGTAGTGGCTTTAGTGGTAGGTGGGGGGTGGTGGTTGTAATGGTAGGTGAGGGGGGTGGTGGTAGTGTTTTTAGTGGTAGGTGGGGGTGGTGGTGGTGGTTGTAATGGTAGGTGGGGGGTGGTAGGTGGTTGTTGTAGTGGTCGGTGGGGTAGTGGTTGTTGTTGTAGTGGTCGATAGGGGGTGGTGGTAGTGGTTTTAGTGGTAGGTGGGGGTGGTGGTGGTTGTAGTGGTCGGTGGGGTGGGGTGGGGTGGGGAGGGGTGGTGGTGGTTGTAATGGTAGGTGAGGGGGGGGGGGCGATATCGTGGAAGCTCGCGATGAAAACGGACGTCATTTAAAAAGATTTCCCTGGGAGCTCGTGGTCAGCACCTGTAACGTGAGTGGATTTATTGATTGGCTGGATGATTGTACAAACATGACGTCAGATTGGCACGCGCTTTGTCAGCCCCCGGGGGGTTGAGCACGGGGAATTAGCGGTCAACATCCCGTGGTGACTTAATAGCAAAATTACACCGTATGAAATGTACGTGAAATCGTCAAGCATACTCAACAATTAGTAAAAATAAAATAAAATAAAAGCAACAAGTTTTGAAAGAGGACTGTATCGGGTGTGTTTGAATGTTCTTGTTGGTTTCATGTTGCGTAATTAAGAGAGGCTTTTCTATAAGTATAAAACAATTTTTACATTCAAATATTTATAAAGTACAGTTTGAGGAAGAATAAGATCTGGTAGTAAAATATTGTTAGCAGCGTAAACTTCATCAGCTGGTTGAGATTAGTAATCTTTTACAAGTGGGAAGTACAGTTGGATGTAAATAAAGATGTTAATGTATATCGTTCGGTATAAAGATGTTAATATGTTATATTTTGATGTAAATAAAGGTCTATAATGTTCAAGTATAAAGATGTTTTTTTAATATATAATTTGATGTAAAAAAAGGTTTTAATGTTTATGATTTGGAGTACAATCTTAATGTACATAATTTGATGTAAATAAAGGTTTTCATGTATATGATTTGGAGTACAATCTTAATGTACATAATTTGATGTAAATAAAGTTGTTAATGTATAAAGTTTAGTATAAAGGTGTTAATGTATACAGTTTGATACAAGGGTTAATTTATAATTAGATTTTAACAAGTAAACAGATACATTTGATGTAAAACACGTTTTTGTGTACAATTTCACGTAAACACAAGTTAGTGTATACAATATGATACATTTGTTATGTGTTAATGTATACTACATATATGCCTAGCAGTGTTAAAATGGCTTGGGTAAGAAGTGGCGTACATTTGAAGCCTAGTCGACCAGCTCCTACCTCGTCGGCGGTCTCGTAGTCGTCACTACACGACTCATCGTCCGACTGATCACGTGACCCATCGTCCAGCTGCTCACTGGGGCGGAAACTGACCGCTCTATAAGCCCCGTGTTTAGGCCGGTCCGCAGACGTTATTACTGGCTTGATCAGACGTTCTTCGAGTCTGCTCCGGTGGGATCTCGTTGATTTCTGATCGCAATAAGGTCAAGGTCATAACAGTTCAAGGTCAAAAAGATTTTTTTTTTGTTATTTATTTAACAATGTTATCACAATAACCGAATAAACGAAAACAAACAAAACGGCTCTTCAATAATTAAATGCTTTTATTATACTGCAATGGGGAGCTTATAAACAAAATTTTACGGGATTTATGGTAAAAAGAATGTCGAAACAGCGGAATAGTCGACGCAGTTATACGACCCAAAAACTCAACATTTTGATACACATAAGACAAGAGATGTACGATCAGCTGGTCAGTATATTTGACACAGAAACTGAATGGTCAAGTCAAAATATAGTTAAGTCACGCAAGTCATAAAGTCAGGACAACAAAAAACTGAATAGTCAAGTCAAAATATAGTTAAGTCACGCGATTCATAAAGTCAGGACAACAAACATATGTGATACAGGAACGTAGGTTTAAAATTCAGTATGCCCCATGATATGAGCTACATAAATAAACCGCAAACACCGCCTGCTGGATTAGTTTTGAACACAGGACGGCCAGGTGAGATGTAGGCAGTGATCAAATGGGCCTTAGACTGCTGCATGCAACTGTTTAAAATTATTTGCGCAAGGTATTTACACATGTGATTAGCAAGGTATTTACAAATGCTCATAACTCACCTTGATTAGCAAGGTATTTACAAATGCTCATAACTCACCTTGATTAGCAAGGTATTTACAAATGTTCATAACTCACCTTGATTAGCAAGGTATTTACGAATGTTCATAACTGACCTTGATTAGCAAAACGACAAAACGATTCTTTTCCTGATGTAATGTCTCTATCAAATCGTTCACAGAGGCCATTGTTATCAATGTCTACAATATCCTGTAAGACAGTGTCCCCCCCCCCCTAGTCTGTAGGATAAAATATCCGTCTAAAGTCATGCAGGCTACATTGTACTCCGCTGTCCTGAAGGCTACAATGTCCTCTAAACTTCCTATAGGACACGATGTCCCCCAACTATCCTGTAGTCTATACTCACACAGCGAGCGTGATGATCATATGGATGGTGCCGAACCTTCGATAAACTACCCCACCCCCACTTGTAGTTAGTCTAAGAGCTCAACCAGATAGTGTTGCCTGGCCGAATGTGTTCTAATAGAAGCAATCTGTCTTGCTGGGGTGTGGGGTACATTTGGATATTACCGGCCAGAGATCGATTAGGTAATACGAGCAATCACACTAAGATGGGGCGAGGTGGAGGGGTGGTGGTATACAGCTAGTGGCTACACCATCAAGTCAGTGAACGTACTGGGGGAGGGTGGTGTACAGCTAGTGGCTACACCATCAAGTCTGGGAACGCATTGGGGAGGTAGGTGGTGGTATATAGCTAGTGGCTATACCATCAAGTCATTGAACGTATTGGGGGGAGGGAGGGAGGGGTGCTGTACAGCTAGTGGCTACATCATAAGTCCAGGGAACGTATATAGGGTTGGTATACAGCAACAATCAGAGTAATCCAAATGTAAAAATTACCATATATATATATATATATATATATATATATATATATATATATATATATATATATATATATATATATATATATATATATATACATACAAATATATATATACAAATATATATATACAAATATATATACATATATATATATATATATATATATATATATATATATATATATATATATATATATATATATATATATATATATATATATATATATATATATATATATATATATATAAATAAATAAATATATATGTAACGAGACTATTTGCCTGTAGTGCCAAATGTTAACGAGTTCTGCTCGACAACGCCAAATGTTACCGAGTCTAACCACTCATTCTACACAACATCGACCACAGTATAGATACTCGAAGATGCAGGTTCGCTATTGATCCTTTTATTACATGAATCAAAGAAATGCTTCACAATAATATAATGAATCAAAAGGAATGCTTCACAATAATAGTCTGAATCAACTGACCCCCAACAGTCCTCACTAGTCTTCACATAACTGAATGCACATGTCTATCGTCCTTCTTAACACAATACGGCTAACCCGTTCAATAACCAACTTGATACTGCCACACTGACTGACTGATCGAGAGAGCGAGCGAGAGAGAGAGAGAGAGAGCTCAGCCGTCGCCTTCCTATATATCCCCTTCGTATTCGTAATCGTATTCGGTTCTATCATAATCGTAATCGTAATCGATTCTAATCGTTGCATCAGAATGTTAATTACGCCGCTTCTGTCGTACAGTCCGATTTAATAAGCCATCTGCATCCTGTCACATCAAAGTTGACAGACCGTATTGCGTTCTTATCGTATCGCTTCCCAAGATACTACGCCTTGGCTTTCTGATCGTTATCAGCCAACACCTGTGTTATTGCATCAGTCGTGTCAAAGTTGACAGCGCTGTACTGCGTTCTTATGTCTCTGGTAACTTCCCCTAGTTACATCCACCCCTGCCTTTTTTTGTGTGTTATCAACCACAAACAACGCTTGGCAGGTGCAGTCCTTCAAAGTCAATCGCACCACCGTAAAAAAAATTTATTGTTCCACTCACTGTCAATGTCGTCACATTCGTATAAGATTGACCGTTATCCCTATTTCACATATCAAATGTGTCTACATCATCTTCCTCAGACACAAAACAGTTCTAGAATTCACATCCACCTTTTTCCGTTTGGTGCCTTCACCAGTTCACTTTTATGACTTTTTGAACAGTCTGTTCTCATACCAGCGCGACCATGAAAGAATTGATGGTTGCTGACAAAAAATTTCGTATTCTTTCTGTTTCTCAAACTTCTCCGCGGACCACTTATCTGATGGTCTACTGTCTCTCTGCTTCTGGGAGGAACGGGATCCTCTTCGTTGCCGTTATCCTCCACTTGTGTATCGCTGTTGTTCTGTTGATGGTGACATGGTTCCGGGATGGGTATGTGAATTTCCGTTATGGTTTCCGGTTCCCTAATTGTCTTGGGTTTCCTTGTGTGTAACTGCTCTTCTTGACTATGACAATATTTCTTTAATTGAGCAATATTCGCCCACCGATCCGGTTTGGCGTGATCGATGGGTCTTATCTTAAAGGGGCCACCTGCTACTTTAGGCATCTCCACGACTTGCCATATCTCCTGTCCCCAGAGGTCGTGGATTTTGTTTCTGCCTAACGGGTGGCTACGCAGTAATACCCTGTCGTTCAGTTTGAGTGGCGGGTCCTTTGTCTGTACCGGCGGTTCCCTTCGCCGTGCTTCATGTTCTAGTCTTTCCTGTACTACCCTGTACATTTCTCTAATTCGTCTCATATGTTCATTCACATATTCCAGTGCAGTGTATGAGCCAGTCATACTCTCCTTTTTTCCTAGGAACAAGTCAAGAGGGAGTCGAGCCTCCCGTCCGAACAGCAACATGTGTGGCGAAAAGCCGGTTGTGGCATGGGGGGTGCAGTTGTATAGATATACCAACTCTGGGAGAAAATCAGGCCAACGTTTTTTCTGTTCAGGTTCTAGGGTACGCAGCAAATCATGCATGCTGCGGTTGAACCGCTCGCACTGTCCGTTTCCTTTCGGATTAAATGTGGTTGTTCTAGATTTGTTGATCCCGTAGTGGCTGCACAGTTGGTTAATTACTTCTGACTCAAAGGCCCTTCCTTGGTCAGAGTGTAATTGTCTTGGTATGCCATATTTGATGAACCAATGTTCTATTAAGACCTTTGCCACTGTTTTGGCAGTCTGATCTCGTGTGGGCACCGCCACAGTCCATTTGGTGAATACATCAGTCACTACCAACACATGTTCCGTCCCATCCGATGATTGCTCCAACGACGTAAAGTCCATAGCCACAATCTCTAGTGGTTTTGTCGCTAGTAGGTGTCCTGATGGCTGTCTCATTTTGACAACTGGCATTTTCGCATGCTGACACCTCACACAAGCCTCACAATGGCGTTTGACCTCCATTTCCATATTGGGCCAGTAACACCTCCGTCGTAATATTTTGTGCGTCCTGTCCTGACCCTGGTGTCCTGCCCTGTCATGTGCCAACCTTAGCACTTCTTCTCGTAATTGTCCAGGCACCACCACCTGGTGTATTGTCCCATCAATTTGGTCATGAATTCTCCGCATGAGAACACCATCCTTTATACTGAGACGGTCCCACTGACTCAGTATTTTCTTTGTTTCTCGACCAAATTGTTCTCTTTCCCTTCTTCCTGGGAATTTTTGTTCCTGGACGTGTTTCAACAGCGGCTGTAAGCCACTATCCGTTCTCTGGGCATCTCTTATCTCCTTGTGATTAAGGCAATTAAAATCACTAATGTCCATATGTCCGGGCTCTGTGGATATGTGCTCCACCCCGGTCTGTCCGTTTTGCATCACTTTCACCCCGTGAGGGATATCTGTTGACGCTCTGACCCCACATATTCCTGTCAGCGTTTCTTCCTCATCGCCCGGTCTCTCGTACGGATTCCTTGATAAAGCGTCCGCATTGCCATTGGACCGCCCCGGGCGATATTTTATCTCCAGGTCAAAGAGTGCCAATTCTGCTGCCCATCGCTGTTCGATGGATCCCAACTTTGCTGTCTTTAGGTGACTCAAGGGGTTATTGTCAGTGTATACCACACATTTAGCACCTAATAGATAGTCCCTGAATTTTTCAGTCACAGCCCATTTTAATGTCAAAAGTTCTAGTTTCATGGCGCTGTAATTTGTCATGTTCTTCTCTGATTCCTTCAGAGCTCGACTGGCATACGCAATAACCCTGAAACCTTGCTTTTGTTGTTGTGATAGCACAGCTCCCAGACCTTTAGAGCTGGCGTCAATTTCTAGCCGAAATGGTTTGTCAAAGTCCGCGTATCCTAATATCGGCGTCTCTGTCAAAGCCTTTTTCAAGAGCTTAAACGAGTTCAGGCATTCATCAGTCCATAATTCACCTATCAGTTGTGTTTTACCCTTCTTTTTCTCCTTACTGTGTTTCTTTGTCATTTTGTTTACCAAG